TCCTACCAAATAGAAGCATGTTTCTTGAGTTTGAGGGTGACAATTTTGACTTTATGTGCATCTAGAATCTCCTTGTATTCAAATACTTGTTCAACAGTTTACAGCCAATCTACAAACTCGTCTGGCTAAAGTCTTCCCTCGAATTCAAGAATGTCTACCTTGATATCATTAGGGTGGAATTGTTGTTGTCGTGGACGGCGATGGTTGTTAATGGATGACGAACTGCTACTTCTCGAATCTCCCTCTAAGTTTTCTTTGTTGTTGTTTAACAGAGTTCGCTACAATTCCACAGTGGCTTCCAACTCTCGTATCCTACGTCTCATCTCTTCCATCTCAATCTCGTGCACATGCCTGCACCTAGGAGGCATTTTGGATAGGTGTCAATGCTAGGGATATTAAAAAGATTAGGGTGTGGATGGAAAAGTTTAAAAGATTAGGGTCTAGAAGTTCATGTTATTTCATCACATTTTTCTTAGATTCTAATCTATTTTGGTTCAATTGTATATATTTTTATTGCCCAAATTAGGAAAATGTGCATTTTGTTTTGGGCTTATGTTCTTGGCTTTAATTTGATATTTTTAGCCTAATTTCATGTTATTTTGATTGAAGTTTTGATTAGAAGCATTTCTGGAGCTTTGTGGATATTTTTGGAAGGCTTTTGGATGAAGAAATCAAGAGCAAAATGAATGATTTTAGTTAGCTGTAAAAACAATGCAAAACTGCCAAAGTCGTCCCAAAGTCGTAACTTTCATTCGCGACTTTCGCCGCTGTCAGAAAAATGCTGCGTTTCATTTATTAAAAATTAGTTGGCTAGGATACATATAAACTGAGAGCTCAACCCAGAACGCATTCATCAGACTTTTAGATACTTTTGGAGTTTGGTTGTACTAGGGTTTGGGCATTGGAAGAGTTGGGATCAAGAGATTAAAGCTTTGAAGACATTTGAAGTTCATTTTCTTCAGTTTTTCTATTCCTCTTCCATTTCATCTCTTGTAAGCTGAAATGGGTCCACTTATTTTGTATATTTGTAGCTTGTGGATGATTATGAGTGGCTAAACCCTTTGTTCTAGGATTATTTTGGAACCCTTGTATGAATTAACACTATATTTCTCCTCTCTTTTTGTGATTAATGATATATATGTGTTTATTTTACTCTTTCCTTAATGCTTCTACATGATTAGCCACCATTTAAATATTGGGTTCACTTAATTGATGCTTGAGAGGGCTAGGTTGAGTGTAGAACTTAGGTAAAATTATGTAAGAACTTGATATTTGCATGTTGAATGGATGGTTTTGCTAGTAAGATAGAGATATACTTGCTAGCCTTGCATAGTCACATTAGGGTTGGTATTCAAAATTGAGTTTTATTAATTGTAACAAGAGATTGGGCAATTAATTTAACTAAAAACTTGTTCATGACTTGAGAGAGCTTGTTTAAGTATTTTTAGAACCCTAGGTTAGCACTTATTTTTATTAAAAGCATTTATGAGAGGAGGTAATTTTGGTGTTATGAAATGCAAGGGGGATAAATAATCCTAGGTCTTAAATTGTGTTGGAAGTTGGTGAATCACTCACTTTTCTTTATTTTCTAGTGTTAGTTTCATTTGCAAAATTATTTTCACCTAACTTTATGTAGCTCAACTTGATCGAATTTACTTAGTCTTTTGCTTGATCATTGTTTTTGAACAAATCCTCGAGGGAATGATACTTTACTTTTATTATATTACTTGCTACGATCCGTGCACTTATGATGAGCAACAGATATAAGGGCAAAATGGGAATTTTGGACAGTCTAGGGTAAAATGGAGATTCTAGCAGAATGGGGTCAAACTGCAATTATAAAAAATATAGGGGTTAAAATGGAATTTCAAAAATTTTTGGGGTCAAAATGTAATTTCTGAAAACATGGCTAACTAGGTATAGTGATGTGGCGAAAGTGACACATGGCAGCGAACGATTGGGCTGACCTATCGTTGATCGGTTAGATCGATGACGTGACAGATGATGTCATTGTCTTCTACCTTTGATTGGCGTGTGACGGTGTGTGGACTTCCAATAGTGGCGCGTGAAGGCGTGCGTGTGGTATTTTGGTGATAGGGAACCTCTTATTCCACATTTTCGACCTCCTGAGTACGATAGTGATGTCAGTTTTTTGAGAAAATGCCTGGATTGCAAAACGCGAAGACGTCAAGGACTCCTCCACTGAATCTCTCTCTTCTCCAGTGTACTTTCTCAACTGTAACTCACTCTCTCACTCTCTGGACCTGCTCTGATATCAAAATGGCACAGAAACCAAATGAAAAGAGAAAATTCTGATATTATTTCAAGTCTGAATTGCCTCTTATAGCAAAGCTAGTCCTATTTGTAGTGTTCGAACTCTGAACGAAATAGGCAAGCAGCTAAGAAATTACAAATGTAAATGCTAGATGTTTTACTACTTAATGAGATGTAAATGGAACAACGTTTTGCTTCATTTCTGTAACTCTCATGCATCAGTTTTTTTTTATTCCTTTCAGTCTGTTTCAAAAGGAATGTGCTTATTGGAGTTCATTGTAGGGATCACAAAACAATCCTTCCAACGTTGTTGTCTGTAATTTCAAAGCTTCATTTGATTGTGCTCTCTGCTAATTTTGTTCCTTTTGGGAATCATGCCGATATCACTATTATTACTCAGGTAGAGCTGGGAATACGGGCAGGCCTGGCCTTTAAGGGCCTTAGCCCTAAAGCTCGATTTCCTATTTTGCACTCCATTTCTCAAGCCCAGCCCTTATGTGAAGGGCTCAGGGTTGGGCCCGCAAGCCCTTTTTCAAAAAAATAAAAAAATAAAAATAAAATTAAACATTATAAATTAATTAAAATATTCTAAAATTAAAAAAATCCTCATAATTTTTTAAAAATTAAACAACATACATTTAGAAGTCTAGTAATAAAATTTAAATCTTAATTAAAAAACACTTCATTTTTTATAAATACACAAACATAATAATTATAAAAAATTAAAAATATCAGGAATTTTATACCATACACTGATATTTATTAAATTGTATTAAATTAATTTTAGAATAAATTAAAATTAATAATAATATAATACGTGTAGGATCAAGTGAACAGGTCATTAACTTCAAATACGTGTTCCACCAAAGAAAATAAAAATAAAAATAATATAATAGGGCTTGAAGGGCTACCCAAGCCTGAGCCCTTTTTTACAGGGCTTATCAGGGCCAAGCCTTCAAGCCCGATTACTTTAAAAAAAATTATTTTCAAAACCCGAACCCTTATTTAACAGGGCCTCTAAGCCCAGCCCTCTAGGTCCGGCTCTTATTCCCGGATCTATGCTCAGGTGTGTGTATATATATATATATATATAATATTATCTTCACACTCCTTTTATAATTGTTTTTATTCAAATGATAATATCAGTTATGATATATATATATATATATATATATATTTCAAGTGGTCAGTAGTGGATTTATAAAGATTATCTGAAGTCTGGTTTTTAGTGAATTTGCATATAAAAATACTGATACTTTACGTTTATTTTTATTTTATACGTAAAGGGTTTTATACGTACCACTCTGAGCTTATAACCTGTCAGGGGCTTGACTTCAAGGACTTGAATTTATCAGCATTACCATATTTGATGATGAGTTATATATCAAATACATGTACTGTGTCAACGGCTCGGTCAACTTTTATGAGGTTGAAGCATGGATCGGATTTTTTAAAAAAACAAAAACATTAAACTGATTATAAGTTTTTTTCTTTTTAAAAAATTTTGGCCTGTTATGGATAAGGCAAATTATTGATAATTTTGATGTTTCTTTGGGATGCTAATTAAGTGAAATATGTTTGTTTGACAGATGGGAGCTAATTTCCGCATGAAGACGAAGGATATGGTGGACCACCTGTGTTTGGCATTACCAAATTTCATTTGAATTCAAATGCTTCGTTTAATCCTAGATACCAAAAGAAAAAAAAAATGTAAAACTGACGGTATAAGGTATTATTATTATTTTTTGTTCCAAGTGGCTTAGAACTTGCTTTTAAATTAGTACTTTAAAGGCAAATAGATGCTTAATGGATTTGGCACTAACATATTAGGACTTGATTACTGATATTAATTTTTGATTTCATTAAATTTGTATTAGATAAATTAAATTAAATTTTATTTTTCTCCTTAATCAAAATGAGATTAATTTAATTGAACAATTAAATTCAAATCTAGTAACAATTAAATAGTAGCATGATAAAAGTAAGAAATTTTAATAAATGAAAAAAATGAATTCTAGACCTAAAAAAAAAAAGGAAAAGAAAGAAAGAAAAAGATTAAAGTATACGAGTAATAAAATAAGTGTGACCTATGCCATGTTTGTTTTAGGACACACCAAAAGTTTATATTATGTTGAGTGATTCTCAATAGGGCACGGTACAAAGAGGTCTTGGTTATGTTGAGTGATTATCCATACATATATACTATGTTGAGTGATTTTCAATAGAAAATAGCATAATGAGAGATAGAGCTGGGAAAATGGACCGATCTGTCGAACTAGCCCGTTTAAGCCCGTATAACAATAGGACCGAGCTTGCAAATATGATTCTAAAATAATAAATCAGGGCCGTTTAAGCCTGCATATGCATTTTTATTTGTGTTTTTAATTCATTTAAATGTTATTTAGTTAGTATTTTTATACCTTTTTTGATTGAATATTATATTAGAATGAAATAATTTTTTGTTTGATTAAAAAATTTTAAAAAAATAAAAATAGTTAAAAGGGCCTAAAGCCTGCAGGGCTGGCTCTGAACCCACTATGTCAAGGGCCGGGCTTCGTATATCAGGGTCTTAAAGGAAACTCAGGACTTAAAAGGACTAGCCCTTTTAGGCCCGAGCCTTTTAAGGGCCGACCCTATAAAGTCAGGCTGGCCTTTTTCCAAAGAGATACCGTGTTTACTTTGTGAGCAATGAAATGTTTATGCTATGTTGAGTGACTTTATACACATTTCGACCAATGATATTGGACTTGCTTATTTCTCCTCCAAGACCTTGAATCTACATACAAACCCACATGAACAACTTAAAAAACTTTTAAAGTAAATTCATCCATTTTGACTAAGTTGAGTTGAAGCAGAACAAATTAAGTGAACAGCGGCAGCGTCCAGATCATCAAGTTCACAAGAATCTCTTAATTGACCATACAAAGGAGCCAAGTGATTTACCGTGAGGCCTACTAATTTCCACAAGGAGAGATTCCAAGCCATTTTAAGTATTTTAATGGATAATTGCTTGGCAGAATCAAGACAGGACACAATCACTTTCCAGCAGGCTTCCTGAACATCTTCCAAAATCCAAAATTCAGAAAGCCAATATAGCTCCACGTATGGTTGTAAACTCAATAGCTTTTGCTCATCATCCATATTATCCCACAGACATCCGAAGGGAGGATTTGGTAGCTCATTGGAATAGAACCAGTGAGCGAGTTTAGCCGTTGCTTCCCAACTAATAGGAACTTTTATGATTTGTGAATGACTGCAAGAAATACTAACATGAGAATTGATCTAGATTCCTTTGAACATGTATTTCTATATTCAAGAGCTGAATATCAAGAATAGGCAAAGCATTAAGCAAAAGCTTCTGGATTTCATTTTCATCTTTATCATTTCATAAAAACCATTAGAAATGTAAATTTCAAGATCAGGCGGATGTACAAGTTAATTACCTCTCTTTCATTCCTGAACGAAACAAACCTTGCAAATAATCACAGCCAGACTGTAATACAACTTTATGAACATGCAAATGTGGAACTGAATGAGAGCATATGCAGCATGTCCACCTTTCAAGTTTATCTGGCTTAGATTCCAATATAACATCCCTGAAAATAGAAATTGACTAAATCAGAATTAATCAACTTAATTTAATTGATATAAGTTGAATTAATAAGCAAGTCATAACCTGCTAGTGGCTTAGCGCTAACTAATTAAACCTCTATTTGCCCCAAATAACAAGTGAGTATAAATTTAATTATCAAACAGACTTTTAATCTGTGCCAATACTAACTAATAATAGTTAATTTACTGCAAGTTTTACAAAATTATATGCACCTTGTTACAACTCTCAGCAACTGTTTTCACGTTTGATAGTCCTTCAAAAACAGATTTTTCATGTGAAAAACATGGCAAGGACATAACTATCAATATGACACCAGCATACTGATTCTAGATTACCACAAAATTCCAACTGAGGGGAAAACCTTTAATAAATTTGACTGATTTTTGCGCACAAAAAAATGAGGGCCAAAATTTAAAGGGAAATTTAAACAGAAGTTAACTTATACTAATAAGAAGTAATCCAAAGATTACTGTAAAAAGTTAATTAAGAAGTAAGCCATACCAAAAACAGCTTCCAGTTGAAACAAGAGATAAAGTGAGATCAAAGTTAGGGAATGATGTGCCCCACTTTGGACTTTGTCTGTGAAGCATGTGCAAGAGAGGCTGCAAATTGCAGCGCTTAGCAAGAACTTTCAACTTCTTCACAGTTTCTTCATCGGCTTGAAAATATCCCACGTATACATACTCCAACAACTTCACCAATGCTTCATAATCAACATGAGAAGATAAACGAACTTCCCTAATGGGTTGGTCATCAATTCTTTTTTCTTTAACAATTAAGACTTCAGGAGGGAGCAATGATGAACATCGAACAGCAAGGACAAGACCATGAACGCTCAAAGTATTGCCATTTGCCACAAAGAGTTGAATATCTGCATACTCTTTTTCGTTAAGACATCTCCCAACCCTTTTGGCTAGTTCATTTGGGAAACCATAAAACCCAAAATGACTAAGAATATAAGTTGCATACCATCTTGAACCATGACTAAAAGAGGCATTACTGCAAATCTCCAAGAATTTGCTAACCAACTGAGCTTTAAAATATTCTATATCAACAATAGATATATGAGAATTATTTTGTGAAGAAGCAGATTGATGAACCATTTCAGCTAAGCCCCACAAACCATAAAACAAGAGAATATTAGAACCTTCCCAATCTTCAGCATCCATCCAGCAACAGGATTTTTCATATAATGTAGTATGCAAATGAGGAGCCAAGCTGAGCCTTGATACATCAATATGATTGCCTAAGCATCGTTTTACTATGAAAGAAACTGTCTTCCAGTGTTTGCTTTCAAGCGTATGATGACTTGGTAAGCTTAAAAAAGAGATCAATCCAATCAAGTTGATAACAAGTTGAAGTTTATCAAATGACCCGTAGCTTTCAAGTGATGATGTATATTCTAACGTATGTACTAACTTTGTGAAATGATCCGAAGAGCATGTCTTAGAAAATATGAGTCTAGCTTGAGATGAAATGTATTTACATGGAGAATAAATCATCATTAGAACAGCCCTTGATGCTGGTTCACTCTGAAAACTATCATCAACATCCTTTCGATATATTTGGCACCATTTCTTAACCACATTGTCAAAAGTTAAGCTACAAAAATAATGGAATAACAATTAATAAACATAAAAGGTATCAACCAAAGAATGTGTTAAAAAAAGCATTTGCCTAATTTAAACAAGAAAGTAAACAGTCACAGAAAAAAACACGTATATTATAGCAGTGGTGCCCAAAAGCATAATAAATCCATCAAGCAAAAATAAAGGGTAGAAATTACTTTACCATGCACTTATGATAATTAAGTTGATGTAGAGCTCACTTCCATGGGTACAAGGATTGAAATATTCTCCAGAATGTATTGTGAGCCAACCAAGAATGTCCCACACATAACCCCTCACACTAAGCTGATGATTGGTTTTTAAACACTCCTTTGCAATGGATATTTGTTTGTCCAGCGATAAGACACGTTCCTTTGATAAATCTTGAATATTTTCCATCAAAAGATTAAGGAGGACTCTATCAATTCTTTGCTTCCAGAAACTAATATGATGATCACCTGCCCAACGAGTTACTAAAGCCAATCTGCATGCTTCCACTAATATAGAACTATTCTTGTTCACAAATTTTCTTGAGTGTGCCCCTGTTTCTTCCATCCCACAAACTATGGCATCAATAAGAGCTTCACCACATGTATCGATCACTTTCAAACAATTCTCTTGGGATCTCTAAGAAAAAACACAAAGCTGTCAGGAAAAATATTAAATGCATCTATGTTTAAGTAATATAGGAAAAAATCCTACCAATAGACATTGAGCAAGCCTAAAACCTTCTATTCTCACAGCATCAGGGTAAGATTTTCCCATGGACAGTACAACCATTTTTAGAAAGACTTCTCCATTGTCTATGAGTTTTTTGGCCACAGAACTGCATAAAGCTGGTAACAAAAACCATGAATCATTAACTTAAACGCTTGAGAATCAAAGATAAAGGGAAAAGTACAACTTGAGAAATGTGGGGCCGGGAGAAAACAAATTTAATACCTAAAGATGTGTACAGCTTCAAAATTACAAGTTTGGTAGAAATATCTGTCCTTGCATACATGTCTGACAAAGAATTTGTCAGTTTAACATCATTCCAAACAGGAAACCGAGTCGGAGGCCACCACAACAATATTGAGCCCAAAAGTGAAGACATTTGTTCGAAATATTCAATTTTCATTGGAATTTCATCTCCAAGAAATTTGTGTATATTGTCCACTATATGAATGACACATTCTGTTTGTTTCAGGACCTCCCAAACTGCCTTCGCACAACTAGCATTTAAATTTGAAATTACTAAATTCAAAGAAGTAGAACAGGGTATTGCAACTTCTACGAAGGGTGAAGATAGCAAGGATGATAGAGCATAGACAAGATCTAATAAATAGGATTCCGATATTGAATTGGGTAAAATGCTAACTAACTTTACTGCTACATTTGCTGCCATAAATAACAAGTGTCTATTTTTGCATTGAAGAATCCACAAGAATGCTCCCAAAATATCAGCAACAGAATCCTGAAGTAAAGTAATGTAGAAACTGAGCATGAGATCAGATCTATCATGAGACTTAATAACACATTGATCAACACTAATTTATGGAATTCGCATCAGACCAAGCCCGATATGACCAATCGGGAAATACTAAAGCAACTCTACTACACGCCAAAAAAAAGCTCAAACGCACATAGGAATGACAGAAAAATAAAATAATTGAAATCTAAAACCATGGTTTCCGTTGGCAGGAAATTGGAAAAGAGGATTTATATGGAGAATGCAGTCTACCTTTACAATAGTATGATGTGCTGAACGCGCATCGCCAGATATAAAATCAAGAAACACATCAATTGAGCGTATAACTTGTTTCTGTACTTCGATGTTTGCGCTCTGCCACTTCCATTTGTTTGTTTTCTCGTCAAAATATCTGCTCATTCAGCAAGAACTTCAGGGACAACCCATTGAAACAAAAGCTCACAAAAATTTGAACTTAAATTTCCTTTAAGAAAAACTCGACAAACTTCGAAAATATAACCACTTTTTTCAAGTTAGGAACACTAATAACTAAGAAATTTAAAAACAAACCGATCAAGAAGAGAATAAATAATAGGTGAACTACAAAGTACATATACTAGTATCATTGTTGTATGTGAAATAGAAATGGAAGAGACCTGGTGCCCAGGTTCAATGCATAAAGAAAACGCTGATGGAGGTTGTTAATTTGCAAGCTGACGCCTCGATTTTTATCTTTGTCACCCCTTGATTTCATCTGTAAGATCCGAATTTTCTCCAAACTCCTTTTTTGGAGCCGGCAAGGGACCGATAAAATGAAAAAAAATGTCTGAAATTTAAGAAGCTGCACTTTTCTCTGATTTTCTGGAACCTACCCAACCGGTGCTACAATTTAAATTGCTTGCTATATACTCCTTCCGTTTCAAAATTTTTGACCGAATTGTACATCCCAATATTGCAGAGTATTTTATCCTTATTTAATAAATTATTTTAAAATAAATAAAAAATAATTTTTTTATGAGAGACACTTTTAATAAAAACATATTAATTATATATCAAAATATTTAAAATATTTTATATTTTTTAACATTTAAACTCTTAAAAAATGTTTTCTATTTTTAAAAGGGGGAAGTATGTCTCATGTTTCTGCCCCAGAAAAAGAAATGTTCCTTCTATGGTTATTTATAAGGTATCAAAATAATTTTTTAATTGAGCCAAATACTTTATGGTTTTTTTATGAAATTAAATTTATTAATGAATATAATATTAATCATTTTATTTTTAATATTTTTGAAATTTGCTTTTAAGATAAAAGATCACTCTTCCACTTCTATTTATATAAATAGATAAAGAAAAAAAAACTTGAGACACTTGCCAATTTTTAATACTCATCTTTACATTTTTACTCTTATTAAATATTTTAAGTAAAAAAATTAATAATAAAATTTAAGAATATTTATTAAGGATAAAGGTGCAAACTTACTAAATTTTAAGACATAATTAATAAAATTTAAAAATTTTTTTAATTTTGGTAAAACTTAATAAAAATGATTCATAGATGGGATCATTGAGAGTATATTAGATACATGGGATAATTTTGATAATATTATAATTTTAAAAGTGACGAACTTTACCTCTTAAGAGGGCAGGTAGGAGTTATGCAAAAAATAATTAGACAACAGGCAATTGAATATAAAATAGAGCAAAAATATTGTTAATGATTATGTTTGTGGGGTATTATTATTAAAGGATTATGCTTGTAAGGCAATTAAATATACTAGTATAGAAATTTATTCAATTGAAATTATATTTTAATGTATTTTTTATAAATACATATCATATATTTATACCCTTTTGAATCGAAATATCCTCCTGAACCAGTGAACGTATCATATTTTCTATTTTCTAAAAACTAAAAGTATCGACAATAAATATGCATCATATTGTCATTCTTCTCGTGCAACCGAGCCTCGTCTTCCCTCCCATCTCAGCTCCTCTTCGTCTCGCGTCTGTGTCTTCCCTTCGTCTCTCCCCCGTCATCTGGTCACAGATCGGATTTGACTCCCACTATTTCTTCCTTCCCCGAGTTCATCGCCCGCCATTCCAGAGAAACCGATTGGCGTCGAGTGTCGCCTAATACCTTGAATCTGTCACGGATCGAGCTCCTTTTCGGATTTGGAGGATACTTCGAAGGTGGGAGAAGTCAAAAACACCTGGGTTTGCTGCTTGTTCGTCTTATTTCAGACCGAAGCAGGGGACAAGTTGAGAAGCTGCGGGCATCTCGACTGGAGTTTGGCTAGTCTGTGCAAGTTTTTGATGTTTGGTTTCAAGCAGATAGAGGTAACATTTTTCATTATTCCCTTTGTTTTTCTGTTCAAGCATTACCGAGTTGAAGAAATTGCTGAATTTGCTTGTCTGAAAATTTTGGTTTGGTTCTGGATACAGTATTTCTTGAGCTTTAAATTTAGAGAACGAGATTTGAATTTGCTTGTCTGTGGGGTTCTTCTGCTGTTGAAGTCTGCAACTTGCTTTCCTTTAGGTACATAAGCTAGATCGATTTTCTTTAAAAAGGAATCCTATGGATTAATATGGTGTCCTTTCTATGATCTCTTTCACCTAACCCTTTTTTTCCAGTCATAATCCCTCATTTCCTGTTTTTGGATTATATATACATAGAATTGTTTAGTTTTCAGTTTTTATTGGGCGCCAGGGTATCCCAACAAGGACAGAGAGGCTAACTTGGTTGACTGTACATAAATGAGTTTAACATCACATTTTAACTTCAAACCTTCAAAATGTTCATTGGGAAGGCAAGGGTTGAGAATTTAGGGGGATCCATCTAAGTATCCTTCACAATCTCATGTTTGCAATAGTTTTTACTTTAGCTTATGGATTTACGTTGATGGAAGTTTTGAGTTAACAATATTCAGAATAAATGATATCATTCATTTTCTAACTTCAGGAGGTTATGTCAAAGTGAAAAGCTCAAATACACTAATGAGCTTGATCCAAAACTTGAACAATATGTGAATTTCCTTTTTATGCAAAATCTAAGTACATAACAAATACCATACTCTAGTAACTTTTACTAGTCACAACAGGATAAATCTATAATGCAAATGTATAATAGGCATGTAATTCTCACTATAAGAAGTTTACCTGCCCTGAAGACCTTATGAAGCGAAGGCTGCAACCATTCTTCATACCAAAAAACAAAAATCCATACTTCATAAACACATTATTAGATTGAGAGAAATTGATAATAAATGAAAGAAAGTTATCAAAAATCATTTGTAGAAATCGCCTGTGCATTCGATGGCAAGAGAGAGCTGTCGATGAAGTCACCAACAGGGGAGAGCACAGAGAAGCCTTCAAAGTGCCCTGACGTTAATGAGACAGCAGGATTGTGGAAAATTGGGGATTTTCAGAAAAAATTGGGGTCATTTTAGTTTTTAAAAAATTAATTAGTGACATATAGACTAGTTTGTGTTTTTGTAATTTGGCGATGCCTTTAAAAAAATGGTTATTTTCTGATTTAAAAAATTGTTTTTCGTTTGTAAATTTGTTTAGCAAAGAAGAAAATGTTGGGCTTTGATCTATCTTCTTTATTGATGGTTCATAGAGCTAGAACGAGCTGTATTACAAAAAAAAAAAAATGGGAAAAAGAAGGAGCCATTTTGTTTCCGTAAGCTTTATTTATCGGCTAGGCCCAAACAAGTCTATATTTCACTAATTAGTTTTTTAAAAACTAGAACAACCTCAATTTTTCTTGAAAATCCCCGATTTCTCACAATCCAGCCGTCTCATTCATGTCAGGGCACTCTTAAGGCTTCTTTATGCTTTCCCTTGCCAGTGAGTTCACTGACAACTCTCTATGTGTAGGTGATTTTCAATAACTTTCTTTCATCAAATTCTTTGTTTAGCGATGTCTAGTGGCATGGCTTCAGCCTTATGAATGAGTTTTGGTCTCCATTTGTCATTAGTGTCTCTCAATCTAATAATGCGTTTATGAAGCATGGATTTTTGTTTTCGAGTACGAAGAATGGTTGTAACCTTCACTTCATAAGCTCTTTGGGGCGAGTAAACTTCTCATACTGAGACTTACGTGGCTGTTATACATTTGCATTATAGGTGTATCCTGTTGTGACTAATATAAGTTACTAGAGTATGGTATTTGTTATGTTCCTAAGTTTTGCATAAAAAAGATAATTCACATATTGTTCAAGTTTTTGATCACTCTCATTAGTGTATTTGAGCTTTTCAATTTGGTATAACCTCCTGAAGTTTGGAAATGAGTGATATTGTTGATTCTGAACATTGTTAACTCAAACATCCATCGATGTAAATCCATATGTTAAAGTAAAAACTATCGCAAATATGAGATTGTGAAGGATACTTAGATTGATCCCCCTAAATTCTCAAATCACAAATGTGTTATATTTGTTGAGGATCCAGTTATGTTCGTTTATTTGTTGCATTCATAAAGGTTTGTGAAACATTTTTTATGATTTGGATCATGTTTGCAATGTTGGTTGAAAGCTGATCGTCATCTTCGCCTTTTACCTTGTCTCTCAGTACTCATGCTTTTGGGATTTAATATATTTTTGTGTTTCCTTTCTTTGATTGCGGATTCAATTGGTATAAGAGTATTATTCTACTTAATTTCAATTCTGTTCCTCCCTTTCATATCTAGTTCAATTTACAGATCCCCTTGGCATCATTCTAATTTTTGTGGTGATATCAAACTTTCACAGGTGTGAAAACCAGTTTAGTAACAAAGAAAGCTAATAATTCTGCATCATGTCGACTGGACCTGGTCTTGAGTCTCTTGTAGATCGTAAGCCATCTGTACCATGTTCCATCTCTTAGCTCATTGTTTATTATTTTGTTAGTTTAGGTATGTCATTTGCCATGCTTATTCCCGGTAATGATTTAAGTTAGTGGAATTGACTCTCGTTCAAGTATTAGTCGTATGAAAATTGTGTTTAAAGTCATGCTGTTAGTAGTATGTTGTAGATTTTGTAACAGGGATAGAATAGAAGGAGAAGGGTAGGTAGAAGGGAAAGAGAGACAGAGGAGAGAGGAACATGAAGAGAGGGAGAATTAGAGATAATTAGAGAGACACAAAGGAATTCTCAACAATACGCTTTTACTGATCAAAGATCGGATTACAAGTCAAATGCCTTAGTATTTCTAGGCTTCAATACTCATGCAGTCCCCAACGGCTATATCCTAACTAACTATTATTTAAATCAAACATATACAATTAACTAATAAAACTATAACTAATATGTCATAATTATGAAACTATAACATAGTACCGCAGACTGAGGCTTTTTGTTTTTGGCAGAGACGATTTCAGTCATCACGAATGATGGAAGAAATATAGTGGTGAGTAATAGTATATTGCACATGGGTTTCTTTGACGATGTTTAAAATTTTCTCATTTGTTCTAATCACATTGATTTTCTATTCAGGGAGTCCTCAAGGGTTTTGACCAGGCAACAAATATCATTCTTGATGAATCTCATGAGCGAGTTTTTTCTACCAAGGTATAAATGAGATTCGCTGGGTTATCTCACGTGATTATAAATTAGTCATGACTTCTGTAACATACCTATATTATTAATATTTTCCTCAATAGGGATTGGAAAAGTGAGTTAAGTAGAGAACAATAAATCTAGTGCTTCCCTTGTGGATTAGATATTTGAAAATCTATTATTTTCAGGCATCATTCAAGAATTCTGACCTCATTTGTTCTTTATTTTGAGAGATTGTCTTTGTGCCAGAAATTATTGTTGATTTGTTGAAGGCTTTATGAAGATGCCTTAATTAACTAAATATAGTTGTTGCTGGATTTGCTATAAATAATGCTGGTTGGCTATTGCTGCATAAGTTTCTTTCGCCTTTCATCACCTTTGCTTGCTGTGTACATTACACCGTTCTCTCGCCCTCCTTCACACCCATGTCTTTGAATTGTTCCTTCACATATTAATTTCGTAACAGCTACAGTTTCTTTCCTTTAAGTCCAATCTTTGTAGACATGCTCCATTTTTCAGTCCCCCAAATGTTTCTCACTCTTGTTTCGAATGACAGGAAGGTGTCCAGCAACTTGTTCTAGGTTTGTACATTATTAGGGGTGACAACATGTACGTCCTTTCCTCCGAAAGTTCTCCATATTTTATTTTCTATCAGACTTCTTATTGCGGCCCTCCTGATGTGTTTTTTATGGACGTCAAATTTCTCTGTTCTCCCTTTGGGCTTTGCAGTAGTGTTGTAGGTGAACTGGATGAAGATCTGGATGCGAGGCTGGACCTGTCAAAGCTTAGAGCTCATCCATTAAAGCCTGTTATTCACTGAATGTGCAACGCAAAAGCTGTTTGGAGATGCATGTCAACTTAGTGGATAGGATGGGCGGTTGAGTTTTATTGATGATACATCATAATATTCTAAAGCAAGCTGTATTTCTTTTGATAGAGCGTTGCTGAACTATGTTCGAAATTCTTCGATTTCACTCTTTTTAGGTCAAAGTTCAACATTGTACTCTTTCCCTGGTAAGCTGTACAACCATGTCTAAGAATGTGCTTGATGTTGATAAAATGATGAGTTAAATATTCTGAGTCTGTATCCCCTTTGATGTTAGCTTGGCCCTGTCTATCTCTTGATTACGAACTTGTAGTACTTATTCTTTTTGCTGGTTTGTAAAATGACTGAATTCAGCAGATCCTGTGGCCAGCTCGAACTGTCTTTTTAAAAAATTTTCTGTTTGGTATTATAGTTTGCTTCTTTTGTTGAATGCTAGTCCCATGGATGTATTTCAAGCGACCTTGTGAGAAGGATTGGAAGTTGAAATAAAATTCCGCCAAACTAAAACCACCAAGTTCGCGGCTGCTGTCAAGTGTCAAGAAAAGTTGAAAACAAAGTGGAAGAACCTCTGTTTTCTCTGATTTCTATAAATGACTGTATTTTCCCCTGCGATTGGTATGTTCAGAGTGAATAGTTGTGAGAAAAGCAACTAATTCTTTTTATCAAGATATTATCGCGCTGCTATCAATTATCAAATCAAATAGAGAGTACTTCAGTCTTCAGAACAATAAACTGAGTTCAAATATTATCCTTTCAATAAAATATAAAACATAGCCAAAGAACTCTAAAACGGATCAACCATTTCAAGGGGGACAGAACAAGAGAAATATTGGAGAAAGAAACTCCCTAGAGTACACATTAGTGGTTTCAATATTCGTAACCAGCTGATGAAGCCCCCTTTTTGGGAAAGCGAGGAGCTCCAGTGGAGAAATCCACTGTAGAACTTGCTTCAGTTTCTCCTCCTTTAGTATTATCTGCAGCATCTTTACGTTGCTGCAGCTGAGACTGCTGATCAGAATTAGAAAACTCAGAGCCTTGTTTTTGTGCCTTTGAAACATTTCGAGCACTAGAAAACACATCAATGGCTTCAGAGTCTGCAATCTTTCCTGCTTCCAGTGGGGTGCCGTGCTTGTAGGCCACCCTCACTGCTTCATCCTCTGAATGCCTTGCTTGTGAAGTTGCATACTTTATGTCATCTTTACTCTTCGCCATGATTCTCCAGTCCCCCTGTGTGTGTGTGTGGGGATTGTTGTGAATGATTAAGTTGTGTGGTTTTATAGGGGGAAGAGGAGTGGAATACGTGGCTGGTTATTTGTGCTGTTTGATGACATGTGTAAAAGAGTTGTGTAGGATGTTCTGGTTGATGACAGGTGTACGATTTGGGTTTTGTTTATTCCAAATTTGCAAGGACAACGTTGGAGTGATCCTTACAGAATAATCAAGAGTTGTGGAAAACGGTGACCTCCCAATTGATCAAAAATTAAAAAAAGGTGATTTAACAATAAACTATTGTAATAAGTAAAGCAAGTAGTTTTATTTTCTTCTCTCTTTTTTCCAGGTAAATTATTACGAGTACATTATTTGAACTCTGGAATTCTGCCTTGTTTGCTTTATTTTTCTTTAATCTTTGATTAAAAATTTAAAGTGATAATTTGTCACAACTATTTACTTATTTAACTTTTCTAACAAAGGACTTACAATTTGCACATTTTCAGTCACATACCTAATGTTGTAGCAATGGAAAACAGTATTGATTTTAAAAGACTTAACTCATTTTTTTATTATTGAGATCTTTGAAATAACACCATCAAACAATTCAAAGCTTGTAGTAATTAATAGTTTGTAAAATTTAAAATTAATGAATTTTCAGGTTGTTGTTTATATTCTTAATAATTTAATTTAAGTTTTCCCGGAAAAACAACACATTTAAGATATTTTCATGGTATTATACTATTCTTATATTATATATTATAAATATAAAGAGTAATGATGATTTTTAAAAAATATATTAATAATAAATTATTCATCTAATTTTAAAAATTAATGTTATATGTTATAGCTTTATTTAAGGGCTTTATTGTCTTTTTGTGTTTTGTTATTGTTGCCTTTTTTTATGTTGCTAAATTCTAAGAAGATATTGACAGTGTGGGACCTGACACTTGTCCAGGTTTAGGGTATATGTGTTGTGCCCTACCCATTTTGGATGTTTTATGAATGGAATAGTCATTTTCTCTCCTTCTTCTTCTTCCCCTTCCCTCATAACATTAAGGTATCAGAGCTAGGTTCTCCGGCCATGGCTCCGCCAGAGACACGATCCTCAACTAAATGACTCATTGATTTGGAACATTGTCTTGAGATGCAATCTACCCTAGTCCATCAAAACACCGACCATATAGTAGAGATTAAACAAACTTTAACCCAGTTTTCAAATCAACTTTCAGACATCTCAGCCAAGTTCTCCATTCTGACCACTCAATCCCCTCGTCTCCTTACCTTTGAAATAGGTGAACCTTCCCATGCACCTCCTCCTCCACCCCCCAAACCTACAGTTTCCCCATCGTCCTAGGCCATATTTGCCCCTTTTCCACCTCTTTTACCACCCCAGTTATCTAGATTAGTGACACCTTTAGCTTCCGCACCCCCACCACCTGTTTTCACCCCACCCCCTCAGTTCGATTCATTTCAAGGCCTTCTTCCCACTCCCCCTTCACACTATTCAGTCCCAACAAAACACAGTCGCGTCTCATTTCCTACATTTGATAGTACTGATTTTTGAAGATGGGCTTACCTTTGTCGTCAATTCTTTACTGTTGATGAAACGCCTAACGAGCACCGCCTGTGACTCATAAGCGTTCACTTGGAGAAACAAGCTTTGCATTGGCATTTGGCTTTCGTGAAACAGAGGTAGCTGTTTGATTTTTCTTGGGATGAGTATTTTAAGGAGATGGAGACTAAGTTCGGTGATATTAAAGATGACCACCCCATGATCGCCATTAAGAAACTTCAAATGGGGGATTCTATTGAGGAATATGAGGAGAAGTTTGATGAGCTTTTGACAAAGGTGGACTTACCTGATGATGCTGCGATGAATTGCTTCATTAGGGGACTAAGGAGTGATGTCCAGTAAAGCATTTTAAGCTTCCAACCTAGGTCCCTTGCTAGCGCAATGAAGCTCGCACGCCGTCAGGTAGCCACCATTAAAGCCATCCACGACCACGCTCTTGTCCCTGCGTCCTCATCATGTCGTTTCGCAACATCCTCTGCGTTTCAGGTGGCAAACTCTTCTGGTTCTTCTCAGGTTCCTTTATCATTCCACTCAGGTATGAAGTCGAACCCCAATTCTAAAGGCACGACATCCATGGGCCTATTACTTAATAAGCCCAAAACTGGACCGCCAACAGCTGCCTCGTCATTGGCCTCTTCTAAGCCTCACAGGGCCCTTTTCAAACATGACATGGATGAACACAGACGTCTGGGCCTTTGCTACTAGTGCGGCGATCAATATAGCAATGGCCATAAGTGCAAGGACTCCCAGCTTTATGCCTTGCTGGTCGAAGATGATCTTGAAGCTTTTGAAGATGCTAGAGATGACATTAAGCCGGAAGAAGCCACGAGCACCATTAACGCTATGGAAAGCAGAGACAGCGTTTCCACCTTACATCTACGAGGGTGAGTTAAGCATCAACAGGTCCTTATTTTCATTGACACAGGAAGCACTCACAATGTTTTCGATTCTAAGATTACTAAAAGACTTTGACTATCTATTCATAAAAGACACAATTTTTGCATTACAATTGCTGACAATCGCCAGCTTTTAATCACGCAATGCTGTTCCAATTTAGAGCAGGAAATAGGTGATTCTGTTTTCTCTTCTGACTTCTTAACCATGAACATTGGGGCGTATGACATGATACTGGGAGCCCAATGGCTAAAATCCTTGGGGCAGTTCACTATGGATATATAACTGAACAAGTGTTCGAATTTTACAAGGATGGGGTGCTCATTTAATTTCATGGCATAGAGTGCAAAGCACCAAATCCTGTTGGTCGCTCCCTTATTTCATATGGTAATCTACTGCCTACAGACACCCTCTATTTGATTCATGCTTTGCACCAACTCTAGGTTAAATCATCCCTGAATTTATCTCTTTCCCCACATCAACAACTTCAACTGCAATCTGTTTTAGACTCCTTCCCAGATGTTTTTGCTAAACCCACTGTCCTGCCCCCACCCTGTGCTTTTGATCACACCATTCTACTCACCGTAAATCATCTAATCTCCTGTAAGCCTTATCGGTATGGACCTGTGCAAAAATCTGAGATTGAGAAACAAGTTCAATAGATGCTTGATAGTGGAATCATTCAGGAAAGCCATAGTTCTTTTATTGCCCCGGTAGTTTTAGTACAGAAAAAAGATGGCACATGGCATTTTTGTGTTGATTATAAAAGGCTGAATGAGGCTACAATCAAGAATAAATTTCCAATTCCAATTATAGAGGAACTCCTAGATGAACTGATAGGAGCTCAATTCTTCTCTAAATTGGATTTACGGGCAGGATATCATAAAATCAGAATGAATAAAGGCGGCATTGTAAAAACTGCTTTTCACACTCATGATGGCTTGTATGAATTTATGGTAATGCCATTTGGCCTCACAAATACTCCTACTACCCTTCAAGGTCTCATGAACTCAGTTTTCTGCCCATTTTTGCGAAAATTCATTTTAGTCTTCTTTGATGATATTTTAGTCTACAGCAGCAATTGGGCAACTCATTTGAACCATTTGAAGGCCACATTATCACTTTTACAACACCAGCAATTGTTTGCCAAAGCTTCAAAGTATACTTTTGCTGCAAGCCAAATTGATTATCTTGGACATGTCATCACTGCAAATGGTGTTCAAGCAAACCCCAAGAAGTTAGAAGTAATAGCTTCATGGCCTACTCCCTCTTCGGTCAAGGAATTAAGGGGTTTCCTTGGTCTCACTGGGTATTACCAACACTTTGTCAAGAGCTATGGTTTTATTTGTAGCCCTCTCACAGCATTGTTGCAGAAGCATGAACGCTTTGTTTAGTCCCCTCAAGCTCAAACAGCTTTTGAGTCCCTTAAGAAGGCTATGATGTCTCCTCCGTTCCTCACTCTCCCAAACTTTAATGAAACTTTTGTCATTGAGACTGATGCTTCAAGGCATGGTTTGGGAGCAATTTTATCTCAACAAGGCCATTCATTAGCTTTTTCTAGCAAAGCCCTTTCTAATTGCAAGAGACAATTATCCGCTTATGAGCGTGAACTACTAGCTATTATCTTTGCTGTCAAGCAATGGCACTCATACTTTTAGGGAAGGAAATTCATCATCAAAACAGACCACTTGCCCTTGAAACATCTATTGGAGCAATGTGATTTAAGTCAGGAATAGTGCACATGGCTTCATAAACTATGGGGTCTCGACTATGATATAGTCTACTGTAAAGGATATGATAATACAGCCGCTGATGCTCTTTCTAGATGCTTGAGTGGGGGCTGTTTGGCTATTTCTCTGCCTATATCTCCTTTATATGATCGAGTGCGTGACTCTTGGCTTCTTGATAATCAGTTATAGCGCCTAATTAAGGATCTCGAACGTGATCCTTTGTCCAACTCTCACTATAATTGGCAGCACCACTTGTTGAAGCGGAAGGGTAAACTCGTGGTAAGGGCTGATCATAAGCTTAGAGAGGATTTACTTCACTTCTTTCACGATGATGCTATTGGCGAACACTCGGGTATGACCCCAACTTATAAAAGATTAGGTTCTTTCTTTTATTGGAAGGAAATGGAGAGAGATGTTCGCAATTATGTGCGTCAATGCACCATTTGTCAATGCTTTAAGCCAGAGTTGGTAGCTTTACCTGAACTTCTCCAACTGTTGCCTATACCCAAACATGTTTGGTCTGAACTCTCCATAGTCTTTATTAGCAGTCTTCCTAAGTCTTATTCTAAGACCACTATTTTGGTAGTTATTAATCACCTATCTAAGACTGCCCACTTTATGGTCTTGAACCACCCCTTTATTGCCGTGGATGTTGCTAACACATTCATGGATAATGTTGTTAAGTTACATGGTTTTCCCAAATTCATTGTTTTAGACCGGGATCCAATTTTCTGTGGTAAGTTTTGGAGGGAATTATCTCGATTGTATGTTGTGAAGTTGCATTTTTCTTCCGCTTATCATCCCCAAACTGACGGCCAAACAGAAGTACTTAATCGTTGTTTGGAGTGCTATCTCCGTTGCATGACAGGTGATTTTCCAAAACAATGGGCGAAGTGGCTTTCTTTAGCTGAGTTGTGGCATAACACCACCTATCATTCCTCTATTAGGATGACTCCTTTTGAAGCGGTCTACAAAATGCCTCCTCCCACCTACTTACCTTATATAGCGGGTGACTCCCCTAATGAGATGGTTGATAAGACTTGCACAACTTGAGAGCTTACATTACAGCTGAAGAAGCAACATTTGTTGAAAGCACAGCATCGGATGGTGCAGCAAGCCAATAAGCGTCGTTTCAAGCGTCAATTCAATATGGGTGATGTGGTTTTTTTCAAATTACATCCCTTTCGGAAGAACTTATTGAACAATTCTTCACTATATAAATTGGCTGCCCGTTACTTTGGGCCTTTCCCAGTAGTAAGACGCATTGGAGTTGTTGCATATGAGTTAGACTTACCTCCCCACACTCGCGTTCATCCGGTGTTTCATGTTTCATTGTTAAAAAAATTTGTTAGTCCGGATGTTCCCCTTCACTCCACCTTACCACCAGTTGATGATCAAGGCCAATTTTTGTTAGAACCAGAAGAATCTTAGGCAAGAAGATAGTCAATCGCCATCATTTGCCTGTCACTCAAGTTCTCGTTCGTTGGAAGTTTTCCCAGCCAGAAGATGCCACTTGGGAAGATCTTTCAGTCATCAAGCAATAATTTCCTCACTTTAATGTTGCTGCTCCATCCACTACTCCCATCCTTGTGGACAAGGATGTTTTTTAGGGGAGAGTATTGTTATATGTTATAGCTTTATTTAAGGGCTTTATTGTCTTTTGTGTTTTGTTATTGTTGCCTTTTTTTATGTTGTTGAATTCTAGGAAGATATTGACAATGTGGGACCCTTCCTGACATTTGTACAGGTTTAGGGTATATGTGTTGTGCCCTACCCATTTCGGATGTTTTATGAATGGAATAATCATTTTCTTTCCTCCTTCTTCTTCTTCCCCTTCCCTCATGACAATTAATCTTTTATTTTACTAAAAAATTAATCATCCGTATTCATGTATAATATAAATATGTTAACCATTTCGATCGTTATAAGACATTAACACATTTCTCAAATTTCGTACACTAATCAAAGGCCACTCCTGTCCATATTTCAAAACCCAAACTCGCCAAGTTTATTCCCTATGGTTGTTTGTGGGGGGAAATGGTTCCACATGGTTTTGTCGTGACTCGTGACATGGCAAGCGTTTGTTGTCAAAGCTTATCAGTGGCGCGTGGAATCAATTTGGATAACCGCAGAGAATTGTGGACGAGAGTGTGGGTCGTGACTGAACCAGCGAGCGCTTGCTGAACAATGAATACACATTACAACGACCGAGTCTCCTGCAATTGTGTTCCTGCCATCGGACATGCTTATCGGTGTCTCCCTCTATTTTCTTTCGTCCTCGTGTGATATCGATATTCAGTAAAATAAAGATGAACCCATTAGCAGTATATGTCTTATCTGCTTTACTCTTCTAATTTTATTTCATAAATCTCTATATTCTCCGAGTAGAACCAACCTGTAGTGCGATTTGTTCTAGCTTCGAAGGTTAACGAGGGAGAAAGAATCAGTATCAGTACAGCATACTTGAATTATTATGGCCACTCTGCTGAATACGGCGTCTCCACCTGCAAACCTATCATCAAAAACAAAAGGTAACTGTGGTTTTGGCTTATATTCCCAGATCCTAAATATTCGTAGGATTTCCCTCCACAGGGATTTTCCCAGAGTTTTGGCTTCCATCCACACGGCTACTTCTTCAAATGATGCTGTTTTTACTCTGCCCAACTGGAGGGCAGGGAAGAGTGATCCAAAAAGTAAGGAGCTCAGGCTTAATGATGCATTTCTGTATGTAGAGTATATGGTGGGTAAAGGCCACAAGCCTGATGTAGCTCAAGCAACCCAGCTATTGTATGATCTTTGCAAGGCTAATAAGCTGAGGAAAGCTGTTAGAGTGATGGAGATGATGATAGGTTCAGGTATTATACCTTATGCAGCTTCCTGTACATATTTGGTCAATCATTTGTGCAAGAAAGGGAATGTTGGGCATGCAATGCAATTGGTTGAGAAAATGGAGGAACACGGGTTTCTAGTTAATACCATTACCTATAATACTCTAGTTAAAGGGCTTTGCATGCAGGGAAATTTAAACAAGAGCTTGCAGCTTATAGATAGATTAACGAAAAAAGGATTGGTCCCAAACGCATTCACATATTCTTTCTTGCTTGAAGCTACTTATAAGGAAAGGGGAGTAGACGAAGCCATGAAACTCTTAGATGAGATAATTGTCAAAGGTGGGGAGAGTAATTTGATTAGTTACAATGTTATATTAACTGGGTTGTGCAAGGAAGGTAGAACTGAAGAAGCCTTTAAACTGTTCAGGGAATTGCCTGCAAAGGGGTTTCACCCTAGTGTTGTGAGTTATAACATTTTGCTGAGGAATTTGTGTTATGAAGGGCGGTGGGAGGAGGCAAATGAGCTATTAGCAGAGATGTATGAAGAGGATCAGTCCCCCTCTGTGGTTACCTACAACATATTGATTACTTCTCTTGCCCTCCATGGAAGAATAGAACATGCTTTCAAGGTGTTGGCTGAAATGACAAAGAGTGGATTTAAGGCAACTGCAACTAGCTATAATCCAATTATTGCTTGTCTCTGCAAGGAAGGGAAGGTTGATCTTGTAGTTCAGTGTCTGGACCAAATGATTTTCCGGTACTGTAGTCCTAATGAAGGAACGTACAATGCTATTGCTATGCTTTGTGAGGGAGGGAAAGTGCAGGAAGCATTCTCCATAATTCAAAGTTTGGGTAATAAACAAAACTCCCCTATGCATGATTTCTATAAAAATGTGATTTGGAGCATGTGTAAGAAAGGGAACACGTATCCAGCCTTTCAAATATTATATGAAATGACAAAGTATGGATTTACTCCAGATTCTCATACTTATTCATCTTTGGTAAGAGGAATGTGTAGGGAAGGCATGTTTGATGGAGCTATTGAGATATACAGGATTTTGGAAGAAAATGGGTACAAGCCTGACACTGATAATTATAATGCGCTCTTACTTGGCCTTTGTAAATCTCATAGAACAGACTTGTCAATGGATATATTTCAGACAATGATTGATAAAGGATGTATGCCTAATGAAACAACTTATACCATTCTCATTGAAGGGCTTGTTTTGGAAGAAGAAAAGGATATGGCAGCCAATCTTTTGAAAGAGTTGCATCAAAAGGAGGTCCTGAGCCAGTGTACTGTAGAGAGACTTATTATGCAGTATGACCTCCAGGATTTAGCAGATTAGAAACATTTTCCTTTAAAGAATAGATATGGCCACAGAAAGTGAACTGGGTCATGAATGCTGTCAATTGTCAAATATGAATGAACTCGGGTTTTGGAGGCCTTTGTGCTTGATGACCCCTAGGCTGTTGATAGTAACTGAAACATGGCCAGGGAATTCACTGCTGTCTGCATCCTCTCCCAAGCTTCAACTTCAAAACTTTCAGTTTTTTGCAGGTGGGATTGAATTGTGGCTTCTTAACAAGGAAAAGAATTCCTATTGTTCATTCCTATGTAGGTTTACTTAAAAGGGATGGTGCTAATTATGATGATTGATTGATTTTTTTTCTGACGTTAACTATTTCTTTTGAGCATATGGGTCTTACAGCCATAGTAAATCTCAAGGTTTCATAGATTGTTGTCCTCCACTCTTTCTTGTAGTGATCTTGAAAGTTGAAATGCACGTGCAACTTAGAAAAATAATGCAATGCTAATGTGCATGGTAGCCAGGGATTTGGTTTACCATTTTGCAAGATAAATTAGGGTACATCAAATTTGTGAATAAATTGATCAATTAAAGCAATTAAGCAAGACCTATAAGCATTCTTACGTCTTGTTAAATGAAACTTGTTTCTTTACACATCTGTACATCTATTAATTGGTTTGTTATTTAATAATGTTTCTAAACTATATCTCATATGTTCTGAATTTACCAAATGAACCATAATTGCCTTTAAGCATAAAATTACAGCGGCTTATGTAGTTTTATTGATTGAGAAGTGATAATACTTCCAAAATTTTCAAGTCAGACGATGGAATAAAAAAAAATTGTCGGCATATAAATATAAATGTTTTATATACTTAATTTTGTATAATATTAATATTTATAATAGGTCCAAAAAATATGTATAACGCTATATATTCTATTTACTTGGCTTTATTGTTCAAATTTCCGAGACACCTGCTATAAGACGTTAATGCCCTGTTTAGTTCAACAAAAACGAGTGGAGAGGAGGAATTTCAATGGAGGAAAAAGGAGAAAAGGAAAGGTTCCCTCACTTGGCTCAGGGGGAGGAAGAGATTTTTAGGGACAACTTCAAATTTTGATACTATTATAAAAGATAATATATTGTTTAAAAATGTTTCAATTATAAAAATTCCTTCCAAAATCCTTTTGGAGAGGAGGAAAGGAGATATTGGAAATAATAAGCTCAGGGCTTAACATTGAAATCAGTAACATGACAAAGTTTAATGACAAGAGAATGCTAACACTAATGAAAATAGGACAAACCAACTTAAAAAAAATATGGACAAATCAACTTGAAATAGTGTGCCCCTTCCAAATATCAGTCCGATTGTTATAACATAGTCTGTCCTGTCCTGGGGGGTTGGCATGATTCCCCCGTCATTCACTCTAAAATCTTGTTAGACACACTCAACTTCCGTCAAATTTAGATAATGAAAGTTGGCCCAAAAGAATGAAATATGCAAACATGTTCTCTGTGAATAACCAAAACTACCCCTAGAGCAAATGCCTGATTGTGAAGCTGTTAAAGCAGTTGTTTGGTAAAACCAATTCGAACAGAAACTTGTTGCCTGCTATCAACTACTACTCATAAGTTAACAGGATTGGTATTTCACCGCATATCTGGTGAATTAATACTAATAGGAAGATTATTCAGAGGCATCTCAAGATACCAGCATCAAAACTCCATTTAAATCAGTAAAAGTTAAACAATATGCCATTTAGATGAAAAGTATAGAAAAACTTGAACATATTCCAATAAAACTAATAAAACTCACAAAATTACAACTCACGTACTAAAATGCCTTGGTCCAATACTAATAAAACTAACCATAGAGCGAGAGGCCTACCCCCAGGAACCACACCACAACATTACAAGGCAATTAATTGCCTGACAAGTCATGAAGATAGTACAGTATCAGACGGGCAAGCCTTATTTTGTTTCAGCTCCTGCACCTACTTAGATCTTTGTCTCATCTTTCGGCGCTTCCTCTTCAATCTCCTCATGCGCTTCTTCTTCCACTGACACAAAGTATATTATATGCCATTAGATTTATAAGAAAAACCATATGGATGCCCACTACACAAGTAAAAGGCAAAACAATATCAACTGCCAAGCATGGAAAGAAACATTAGGTAACAAATATTCAGTTATGAAGCAGTGTTCACAAGCCATTCCAACTCTACCATACACTGGAACAATACAGTTCAAGCCAAAAAAAAAAAAAAAAACAGCCAACACCAGTGTCGTCATAAAGTGAAGAGTGAGTCAACTCGCAAGCCTCATAACAGCAAAGTGCGGTAGGCTGTAGCAACGTCATTGATGTGACGCAGAGCCGCAGAGATAGATATTTAAAAAGGATGAAGACAATTCAAATAACTAAAAATCACCAGAGAGAAACAGATGATTATGTTGGTAATAGACATCAGTTGAGTGCAAATAATAAAATCATAAAATGGCTAGATTTTGGAAATAAAAAGAGATTGAATCAAGAAAGCATAACTATGTCTATGTCAGTGGCACTGAAATAGTGCAGGATAACAATGAGATTTGTTTGTGACCGAATAAAACGGAAAACTAGAAACTTGACTGATACCGAAAGTAGAATATCACACCCTCAAATAACTAAGAATATATTTATGGATCGCCACAAGGAAGAAAAACAGTATCACTGATTTTTAAGAACCGGAGACATCGCCATTGTTTGATGCCCACAAATGAAAGGAGGCAATCACAATCATCAGTTCGTAGAGTACCTCTCAGAAGTTAAACACTATAGGAGCTCTTGCAATCGGACACTCCCCCAAATTGTCTATATTACACAGAAAATTGTATAATATCGTGGTAATTTATCATTTTTCCGTATTAATTGTCCTGTCCTAGACACCTTGACCAAATCCCAGAAGTCATATGGTTTTTCCCCAAAAAAAAAAAAAACGATTGGCAAGACAGGACAGAAAATTTTAAAAACATGGCCGATATCAATGATCAATACAACGAAAACCAATGATTCTGTATCAAGAAAAAACATCGAAAGACCAGGAATTCGTGAATGAAACAGACTCGTGTAAGAACAATCAAATGGAAATAAGGGATCACCTTAGCTCTCATCTTCGATGACGAATACTCAAGCTTCTCCTAACAACAGCAATCTAGCGAATGATACTACGATGGTATGGAACAAACTATACTGCATCAGCCAGATTGCCTTCATTTGATATGTGTGTGTGTGTGTGTGTGTGTGTGTAGACACGCGCACGCGCACATTCAGGTTCGAACTCATAGGCGGAGCCCTAATCGATAAGTGGGTCGGATCGACTTTGGGCCGTAGATGGCCATTTGAAAACAATAACAAGAAGTATCTTTATTTTTTAAATTTCAAAAATTTAATTGAATCTTAACTTTTAAATTTTATCTTCAATTAATGTGATTCATTTAAAATTTTATTTTCTATTTATATTATTTTATTTTGATTTATTTTAATTCTTAATTTTTTAAGAAATATAGAAATATTTTTATAACAATTTTTCACATATATTTTATGACAAGTATTATCCATGTCTCATGAATTGCAAATAAGACAACTTAGAATTGAAAAACAAAGGGCTTTGCTTTCGGTGCAGGCATTGTAACCTAGTTGCTCACTTAGACATCTTTTTGTGCACTTCTTAATTCAGTAAGAACAATCATTTATCATGCACTGGTCTTATGGCCATGTGAAGCATAGACTAGTAGGCTAGTAGCTTTCCATTTCGACTTCAACTGCCAAATAATTACGTCTCACCGATGTGTAAATACTAAATACTATCACATGTTGTGTTATATATAATTCTAATATTACATACTTTGAACTAATTCGACTTGTAGATAATGTTCTTGTGTAAAATATTTAGATTATATAGCATAATTTTTACACGCGTGTAACATTTGAAACTTGAAAAGGAATCAGTGTATCTTTCACTCCTCTACTTAATGTAGTGACAGATATGAATAGGCAGGGAATCGAATTCCATTTTTATTTGGAAACAGGGTGTAAAATCCTTCGTATACCATCTCAAATTCCTGAAAGCATGCTTACACTCCCAACATTTATTCAACATTAGTTAGATTAAATAGCTAATTTGTTGTCTTTTTTATTTCTTTTTCTACGCATAAATAGAATATAAAAACCTTTCATAAATATAACCTATTGAATAATAGAATACTATTGTTTCGCAGCCAGCAAACACCATTTACCAAATCTAACATCACAAGTTAATCACTGTTAATAAGGATACAAATGTTATCATTCAAAGGATTGCCTTTGTGTTAAAAAGGAAAATAATTTTTTTAGCTTATTACTTAGTGATTAAACCACAAACTGATAATTCTCGTGGCAACCTATACGACACGGATAAATCTTGGGACTCGAGGTGAGTCAATACGAAGATTATTCAGGGGCATCTCAAGCATCGAAGATCAGCTCTCGTAAGCTTCTACTACGGTTAAACGATATGCCATTCACTTAAGATGTATAGCAAAACCAGTACATGTTTCAGTAAACCACACGCAACATAACACTAACCCAGTCCAACAATAATAAAACCAAACTATAAAGAGGTCTCTAACCCCAAGACCCACGCCTCAAAATCACCAGGCCATTGCCTGAAAGGTAATGATGAAGCTGGCAGAGCATCAAAGAGGGAGAGCCTCGTCTTGTTGTAGCTCAAGCACCTACTTAGATCTTTGTCTCATCTTTCGGCGCTTCCTCTTCAATCTCCTCATGCGCTTCTTCTTCCACTGACACAAATTACATCGTATGCCATTAGATTTACAAGAAAAACAATAGTGATGTTCACGACACAAGTAAAAGGCAAAACAATATCAACTGCCAAGCATGAAAAGAAACATTAGGTAACAAATATACAGCTTATGATGCAGTGTTCACAAGCCATTCCTACTCTACCATAAGGTGAAGAGTGAGTCAACTTGCAAGCCTTTGTTATGAGCACAAATTTAAAGGGAAAGCCCATCCCAAAAGACCCACTTATTGAGTGGAAGAAACTCTCACACTTATCAACCCCACAACACTTGTGAGGCTCCCCACTATGAGACTTGTGACAATACTACCCCGTTGAGAGTCAAAGTCCTTAGCAACTCCACTCCATAACACTTCACTTGATTTCTTGCCGGTGAGAACCCTCTATGGGTAACTCTTTCTGTAACATTGGCCTCTCAATGAAAGCATCAATGTTACAAGCATAAATTCAAAGGGAGAGCCCATTCCATAAAACTAACCTATTAAGTGAGAGAACCCCTCACATTTATAAACCCTACACCACTTGTGAGGTTCCCCAATATTGGACTCATGACAGCCTCATAACAGCAAAATGCGGTATCAACATCATCAATGTGAGGCAGAACCACAGAAGTAGACATTTAAAAAGAATGAAGACAATTCAAATAACAAAAAATCACTACAGGGAAACAGATTATTATGTTGGTAAGACGAAATAATATCTCTCTTCATTAATGTGTTTGATTGATTCTATTGTCAAAGACCCTGTGGCTAACAGTAAAAGCCTGAATAAAGTGTTACCAATAATCCATGCACGCGTACTGAAATAAACATCAGCAGAATACAACGAATGAAATCATAAAATGGCTAGAGTTTGAAAATAAAAGGAGATTCAGAATCAAGAAAGCGAAACTATGTCTATGGTAGTGGCACTTAAATAGTGCAGGATAACACTGAGATGTTTGTGACCGAATTAAACGGAAAACTAGATATTTGATTGATACCAGAAATAGAATATTACATCCTGAAAAAAACTATGACCATGTTTATGGATTGCCGCAAGAAAGACAAAAGGCATCACTGATTTTTAAGGACCAGAGACAGCATCATTGTTTGATGCCAGCAAACCAATGGAGGCAATCACAATCATCAGTTCATCGAGTACCTCTAAACAGTTAAAAACTATAGGAGTCTTGGAACCAGGAGATTCCCCAAATCAACTAATATTACACAGAAAATTATATATTTCCATGGTAATTGATCATTTTTTTAGTATTAATTGTCATGTCCTAGACACCGTAACCAAATCCCTGTTGTCATATGGTTTTTTCCAACAAAAAAAAAAGATTGACAAGACAGCGCAGAATTTTAATAACAAAACCAATATCAATTATATATATAACGAAAATCCAACGATTCTGTATCAAAATAAACATCGAGAGACTAGGAATTCGTGAATGAAACAACAGACCCAGGTAAGAATAGTCAAATGGAAAAAAGGATTTAACCTTGGCTCTCATCTTGGATGACGAATGCTCGAGCTTCTCCTAACAACAGCCAATCAGTGATTCAGTAAATAGTATGGAACAGACTAGAATGCATCGGCCATAATTCCCTCATTTGATACATATATAGAGTCGAGTTAGAACTGAAACTTGGAGCCCTAATCGTTAAGTGGGTCAATCGGACTTTGGGCCGCAATGGGCATTTAAAAACAAAACAAGAAAAGTTTCAATTTTATTTTGAATTAATTCGATTTTATTTTTGTTTTGTTTATCTTATCTTATTTTATTTTAATAAAATTTAATCCTTACTTTTTGAAGAAATATAGAAATATTTTTATATCATAATTTATCACATGATATTTTATGAGTAATACCATTGTTACCAAACTTTCAAATTGACTTTTCAAATTTTTTATTTTTACATTTTTAATTAACAAAATCGTGTTAACTCGCTTATAAATTTAAACTAGATAAAATTCAGTTAAACTTGATAGTTGACTCTTTGAGTTTATCATTTTTTTATTTTTAACTTATACAATCGTGTCAATCCGCTTATAATTTTATTGAGTAATATAGGTATATACTGTATAGAACTTGGTTTATACAAGCATGGGACCCTATTCAATGAAAAATGGGACCAAAAAAAATTAATATTGATAAAAAAGGAAAACAAAAGGCTTATAAGAGAAGAAAGAAAACAAAAAATACAAAAAATAAGTTGTCATATTTTAAAATTTTTACGTTGAGTATAAAAATTTATAAATCTAGATGTATTTAATTTCAATGATTTATACGTAAAATATATTTAAATTAAATTATAATTATATTTTATATTTTAATAATTTAATCATATACTTTTAAATGCTACTGATTAATAAAGACAAACTCTTATAAGGAAGCGATTCAAAATTATCTTTCAAGTTTACATTTCAATCACGAGTTTAATAACATTGAATAATACTGCCCGTGTCTCATGAATTGGAGATAAGACAATTTTCTATAAATTTCTGACAATATATTGGTGATGATTGTTTAAATTCTTATCTGGTGTATTTTCTTAAATAACTAAAAAGAATGAATATAATACCTTGGCGTGATAAAATTATATCTAACTGTGATTCATTTTTTTCCTATTGAAGTATGTATAAACTTCCTGAACTTTGACTCTATAATATATAACATCCATAATTTTAAAAGTTTAAAGTCAACCACTCACCTTTCAAAGTTTTACAATCAACACGTTTGTTGTTAATTTTAAATGTAGGATTTCAGGCATTTACCTCAAAACACATAGCTTCATCTAAGGGTCATTTTGTCATTCCCCCGAGTTTTAACAGGAGAAGAACGAATTTGTGGATGCTGTTGTAGAATTCTACCATACCCTTTCATTAGAATTTCCTGCTCCTGATTGTTCAACAAAAAGGAATAGAGACCAAATCAATGAAATGTGCAAAATTTCATGTCATCTTCCTAGTATTTTTACTCAGTTAATTCGGTGTGCCATGTGCTATTTGTTGTATGTGTGGCAAAAGTGTGTGTGTGTCAAAGTCCCACATTGACTAAAGGAAGACATCTCCTAGTGAATATATACTAAGGAATGAAGTGGGCTAGTAAAATGGGCTTGGAGGAGAAGTGGCCTCGCGCACATGAGACAGGCCAACTCAGGGCAATCGCAGTTGAAATCAGCCGATTCGCCCCCCCTGCGCGCGAGTTCAAGAGGCACTGGGTTCTTTTACCAGGTTATTTTTACAAAAAATAGTTAAATAAATAATTATTTTTGCTTACCCGAAAAACCTCTGATTTAGCTGTTTTCAAGTTGAACTTGAGGCGTTGGGCAGTTTTCTGGAAACTGAATCCTGTGCGTTAATATTTTGCCTGCCAAACGTCTCCAGATTGAACGCTGAACGTTTTTGGATTAATGGACGTGCACGTTTTTGCTGTTTAAGGCGTGTAACTGAAGCATTAATCCATGAACGTTTGTTGTTTAATGTGTGTATAACCGAAGCATTAACCGGTAATTATAACCCAATATTTGTGTCTCATTCCTCAACCTATAAATAGACATTGGTGCGGACAGAACAGATAGCAAACGTTCTCGTCCTCTCCTCTGATCTTCTGTTCATCTATTTTCGATCGTAGTCTCTGCTGTTCTGTTTCCTTGCTTCGCCGCAGGAAGTGCTCGTTTAATCCTGGGGGACTGCCGATCCACCGTCCAGGTGTGCCGGAATAGTTTTTAAGGACAGTGTTCATCCGGACACGACTCGAGCAATTAGTAGCTCGCTGTTCACCTCTGCGTTTGCTGTCTCTAACATTCTTAAGAATTATTCAAGCCAATGGCGACCGACGGTGCTGAGAATGTCACTCCCAAAGGTGTGCTCAATGGTTCGACTGGAGGTCAATTCATCCCTGCTGCTATTGCCGTCCCCCTGCCAAGGCCGTTCCCTGACATATCAAAGATAGAAGTCTTTGATGGCCAGAACTTCAAACACTGGCAGGAACGTGTCTTCACTGTTCTTGACATGCATGGTGTGGCCACTGCTCTTGCTCAATCCGAGCCTCCTGCTGATACTGATCAAGCCCAGAGAGTTGCATGGACTCATGCAAACAAGGTATGCTGACACACTATCATTAGCACTTTATCTAACGATTTGTTCGATGTCTACTGTGTCTACAAGGAAGCTTGTAAGATATGGGAGTCCCTGGTGACAAAGTACACTGCTGAGGATGCCGGCAAATAAAAATTCATTGTGGGCAACTACTATAAATGGGAGATGACCGAGAACAAGGATGTCAAGGAGCAAATCAACGAATATCATAAGCTGCTGGAGGAGCTTCATACTGAAAACATCAACCTTCCAGACGAGTTTGTTGCTGGGATGCTAATTGAGAAGCTGCCAGAATCATGGTCTGACTACAAACAGCAGTTGAAACACAAGCAGAAGCAGCTGTCCTTGACTGACTTGATCACTCACATCATCATCGAAGATACCAACCGCAAGGCAATACGTGCAGCTCGAACCAGAGAAATGACATCCAAAGCCAACCTGGTGGAGACAAAGCCTCACAACAAGAGGTATGATTCTAAAACTAAAGACAAGAAGAATAGGAAAACTGATTACAAACCCAATGCTTCTAACCCCTCTTTCAAAAAGAAAGGAGACTGTTTTGTATGTGGTAAACCAGGACACTATGCAGCACAGTGTAGGAAGAGAGCAAACCGTGATAAGCCTCGGAAGCCAAATGTAAATTTGGTACAACGAGATGGTGACAGTGATGATGACATCATTGCTGCAGTGGTGTCACAAGCTCTCTTGATTTCTGATGTAAAGAAATGGGTGGTAGACTCCGGGGCTACCAGGCACATATGTGCAAGCCAAGAGATGTTTACCACCTATAATCCTGTAAAGGAAGGGGAAGACCATATTTACCTTGCTGATTCCTGAACTGCTAAAGTTCAAGGAAAAGGGAAAGTGGTCTTAAAGCTCACATCAGGAAAGACTCTGGCTCTGAATGATGTTCTGCATGTGCCTGAAGTTAGAGCTAACTTAGTGTCAGTTGCTCTTTTAGGGAAAGCTGGGGTTAAAGTGTCATTTGAATCTGACAAGATTGTAATGACAAAAAATAATGTGTTTGTAGGCAAAGGGTATTGTAATCAGGGACTGTTTGTTCTAAATGTTGATGAAATGAATAAGACTGAATCTTCTGAGCATATGTCTGTTTATATAGTTGATTCCTTTGATTTGTGGCATGCTAGACTAGGTCACGCTAGTAAAGATTATATAAATAGGATGCGACAACTTGGACTACTTTCTGAAATTAAAAACAGAGATTTTGGAAAATGTGGAGTATGTGCAGAAACTAAACAAAGTAAAAAAACCTCATTTTTCTAGTCAAAGAGAATCTGAATTACTATCTTTAATTCATACAGATTTAGGTGACTTAAAACAAACCATGACTAGAGGTGGTAAAAAATATTATATCACTTTTATTGATAATTTTTCAAGATATACTAAAGTATACTTGTTAAGAAACAAAGATGAGGCTTTTGAAAAATTTCTGTTATATAAAGCAGAGGTTGAGAATTAGTTAAACAAAAGAATTAAAAGGGTTAGATCGGATAGAGGAGGAGAATATGTTTTGTTAAATGATTTTTGTGAAAAAGAAGGAATTATACATAAGGTAACACCTCCTTATTCTCCCGAGTCTAATGGTGTTGCAGAAAGAAAAAATAGAACATTAAAAGAAATGATGAATGCTTTGCTTGTGAGTTCTTCTGCCCCTGATAACTTGTGGGGTGAAGCTATTTTGTCTGCATGTTTTTTACAAAATAAGATACCTCATAAAAAACGAAGAAAACACCTTATGAGTTATGGAAAGGGTTTACCCCAAACTTAAAATATTTGAAAGTGTGGGGGTGTCTTGCAAAAGTTTTATTGCCTGATCCTAAAAAGAGAAAAATTGGCTCTAAAACTTCTGATTGTATGTTTATTGGGTATGCTGAACAAAGTGCAGCGTATCGCTTTTTAGTTTTAAAAAGTGATGTTTTAGACCAAAATACAATTATAGAAACTAAGGATGCTGAATTCTTTGAACATATTTTTCCTTTGAAAATTAAGTATGTTTCTAAACCTGTTGAGAATTCAGAGTTTGAACAAAATTTTAACGAGGATTTGGTTTTAAGGAGAAGTAAAAGGCAAAGGAAAGAAACAAGTTTTGGAGATGACTTTTACACTTATCTAGTACAAGATGAACCGTTAAATTTTTATGAAGCTATTTCTTCTCCTGATGCCAAATATTGGAAAGAAGCAATTGAAATTGAAATTAATTCTTTAAGGAAAAATAAAACTTGGGTTTTATCAGATTTGCCCCAAGGAGCTAAGGCTATTGGGTGCAAATGGATTTTTAAGAAAAAATATTTTCCAGACGGTTTAATTGATAAGTATAAAGCAAAGCTTGTGGCCAAGGGTTTTACTCAAAAAGAAAATATAGATTATTTTGACACTTTTTCTCCTGTGACTAGAATCTCTTCTATAAGAGTTCTTATTGCTTTGGCTTTAATTTACAAACTTTTTGTTCACCAAATGGATGTTAAAACAGCTTTTTTAAATGGTGATTTAGAAGAAGAAATTTACATGGTACAGCCTGAGGGATGTGTGATTCCTGAGCAAGAAAATAAAGTTTGTAAACTTGTAAAGTCTTTGTATGGCTTAAAACAAGCGCCTAAGCAATGGCATGAGAAACTTGATCAAGTTTTGACAACTGGTGGATTTTATATTGTTGAAGTAGAAAGATGTGTTTATACAAAGTTTGTGAATAGTGAATGTATGATTATATGCTTGTATGTGGATGATATGCTGATTTTTGGCTCTAGTATGTGTGTTGTTAATGAAACAAAAAATTTTCTTTCTTCAAATTTTGATATGAAAGATATGGGTGAATCCAAGGTAATCTTGGGTGTAAAAATCATAAGGAATGGAAATGGAATCTTGCTTTCCAAGAACATTATGTTGAGAAAATCCTTAGAAAGTTTGGACATCTTGAAGATGCTCCTTTAAGTACTCCTTATGATTCGAGTGTGCAATTAAAAAAACACAAGGGTAACCCAGTTGCTCAATCTGAGTATGCACAGATTATTGGGAGTCTGTTGCATTTGATGAACTTTACTAGGCCTGATATAGCTTATGTTGTAGGCAAATTGAGTAGATATACTCACTGTCCAGGCAGTAAACACTGGGAGGCTCTGGTGAGAGTCTTGAGATATTTGAGAGGTACCATGAATTATGGTATATTGTATAGTAGATTTCCCGCATATTGGAAGGATACAGTGATGCTAACTGGATTTCCGATTCAGAAGAGACAAAATCCACTAGTGGTTATATATTCACACTTGGTGGTGGTGCAATAACCTGGAAGTCAGCAAAACAGACAATCAACACAAAATCCTCAAGGGATTCTGAGTTCATTGCAATGGAGCTGGCTGGGACTGAAGCTGAGTGGTTGAAAAACTTCTTGGCAAGTATTCCAATAGGTGAAAAGCCCACACCATCAGTGTCTTTACATTGTGATAGTCAGTCTGCAATAGCAACGGCTAAAAATAAGACTTTCAATGGCAAAAGTAGATATATTCGATTGAGACATAATATTATAAGGCAGCTGCTTAAAGACGGGGTCATCTCAATCGATTATGTGAGATCAGAGTTAAATATGGCGGATCCGTTAACTAAACCCCTAGGGAAGAAATTTATTATTGAAACGTCGAGGGGAATGGGACTTAAGCCTGTTTGAAATTAACGGTGATGGCAACCCAACCTTTGTGATTGGAGATCCCATGAAAAAGGTTCAATGGGTAAGAACAAGTCACTTGTTAGTTCTGCTAGCACTGAATTTTGTCCCTTCCTATGGCTTGAGAAAGTGCTAGAATGCATTGAACGGAGGCTGAGTGAAAGCTCTTAATGTTTTCATAGTCCTTACGGATGGTGTATTCATTGCAGATACACTTGATGAAAACACCTATACAAATATGGAGTGGGGCCGCTCCTATGAGATCGTGGCAAAATCTCTAGAGCATTTGTTAAAACCAGGCGAGCGCATGGTCGATAACGTGCAAAACCGTCGTTAACAGCAGAGACTGTAGGGGTATAATCCGATTAATAAGACCTCTAGCACATGCTCAAGATCTGTTGGTTCAATAACAAAGTTACACTAATTTTTCTGTGTGCTAAGTTTTATTAGTCTAGGTTTGGTTCAAGTCGACAGACACCAAATTCAAAGTGATTATCTCCGTGTGAATAACACAGACGAATGTAGATCCTTTTGACACATGTGGGGGATTGTTGTATGTGTGTTAAAAGTGAGTGTGTGTCAAAGTCCCACATTGACTAAAGGAAGACATCTCCTAGTGAATATATACTAAGGAATGAAGTGGGCTAGTAAAATGGGCTTGGAGGAGAAGTGGCCTCGCGCACATAAGACAGGCCAACTCAGGGCAATCGCAGTTGAAATCAGCCGATTCGCCCCCCCTGCGCGCGAGTTCAAGAGGCACTGGGTTCCTTTTACCGGGTTATTTTTACAAAAAATGGTTAAATAAATAATTATTTTTGCTTACCCGAAAAACCTCTGATTTAGCTGTTTTCAAGTTGAACTTGAGGCGTTGGGCAGTTTTCTGGAAACTGAATCCTGTGCGTTAATATTTTGCCTGCCAAACGTCTCCAGATTGAACGCTGAACGTTTTCGGATTAATGGACGTGCACGTTTCTGCTGTTTAAGGCGTGTAACTGAAGCATTAATCCATGAACGTTTGTTGTTTAATGTGTGTATAACCGAAGCATTAACCGGTAATTATAACCCAATGTTTGTGTCTCATTCCTCAGCCTATAAATAGACATTGGTGCGGACAGAACAAATAGCAAACGTTCTCGTCCTCTCCTCTGATCTTCTGTTCATCTGTTTTCGTTCGTAGTCTCCGCTGTTCTGTTTTCTTGCTCCGCCGCAGGAAGTGCTCGTTTAATTCTGGGGGACTGCCGGTCCACCATCCAGGTGTGCCAGAATAGTTCTTAAGGACAGTGTTCATCCGGACACGACTCGAGCAATTAGTAGCTCGCTGTTCACCTCTGCGTTTGCTGTCTCCAACTCTATTAATTTATGGGAGCATATCACAATTTTATTTTTCCTCAACGAAACTCTTAAACATTTTAAGCACACCTTATTCACGCTTAATAGCAAAAAAATTTAAATAATTGTAGACTTTAAAACACAAGCTACGTCTCAAATAGCAAAAGAATATGAACAAGCTGGATGCAGTATGAAAGCTCTTTACAATTATGTTGCATAAAAAAATGAAAGAATTATATATAAGTTTCCCAAACAATATATTTAAAGTGAAAAATATAATTTTAAATTCTTATATTTTGTTCCACCTTTGCCATATGTCCTTACATTTATTTTTGATGTTTTAAATTTTTAAATTTTTTTATATTTTAAGTCTCTGTAATCTCATTCATGAAAAAATATAAAATATTAAAAAAATATAAAAATTTATAATAAAATTTGATCAAAGTAAAAAGCATAAAATTATATTTTTTCTATTTAAATATTATAACGCCTGTTGACAAAAAAAAATGACAATGTATTGTATGTCAACTCAAAATAATTTTGATCTGAAAGAATCTAAATAAAAATTATTCTGTCCAAAAAATAATCCATTTACGCTGGCAAGGTGATATGGTCACGCGCTGAGCCACTGGCTTTAGTGTTCACTAGACCTCAGATGCTTCTTAGGCTGAATCAGCTCCTGAACCCATGCCGGTCCATCCTGCCGCCGCCGCTTTCGCTGCCACCTAACGCTTCCCGTTCCGATTTGAGCTTCCCTACGGAATGGTGAACTGAAAACTTCAGCACGGGAAATCTTACCATCCGGCGATCCTATAGCCTAAGTCGCTTCACCGTCCTCGCCCTGTTTCCACCATACCTAGGTGTCGCAACCGCCAGCACCCGAAAATTTCTTTGTTGTGAATTTTTGTGGAGGCATAGAAATAGAGGATTCTAAACAATCCAATTAATCCATTCGTAATTTTTTTTTTTTGGTTTGTGTTGGTCAATTATGGAAGCGTCGGATCATCCATGCGATGCCGCTGGAGAAAATCAGAGTATTGCAACGGAGCCGTCTTCTTCTTCAACCTCTAAAGGCAACAATGATTCTGAAGCAAACTCCGATCCTATAGGGAATAGCTCTGACGTTGTGGCCAAAGGACTATCCACCATGCTCTCCACCATTATTAGGGATTTCGATTACAGAGCTCGAGAAACCTTTAAAAGTCAAGACCAACTTCATTTTGCGCTCGATCGTCTTACACAAGGTTACTTTCTGTTGCTCTTACGCGTCTTCTTTGTTTTATTGGTTTACAACTATGCCTCATGAGCTTGTATCATTGTTCACTGCTATTCATCAAACTGTCGAACGTTGTGTTAAATTTTGGCGAGAAACTTGTGAGATATCTATTATGAGGAAAATTGAAGTCAATGTATATGGTGGTAGTTGCAAGTTGAAGTCTTTTAATAACCTTTAGTCGTGTAAAAAGTGAAACCACAGTCCCCTTACTGTACATTAAGAATAAATTATGAGGCCTGAAATTTGACACTGTTTGATTATTTAATTGGGGAGCAGGGACGTTGGCTTAGATAGAAGAAATTTAGAGAGCAGAGTCTTGAGAATTTTTACTTTGGAGGTCAGTGTCGATTTTTGTAGTGCAACCAAGGTTTCTGACTGTCATAGGAATGCATTTTGAAGAAATCCTTAGTTGCTTTGGATTTGCCTTTCCCCATATCTTCGTTGAAGAAAATTTGTCTTTGACCTTAAAAGGAAACTATATCTATATGCAAATAATTCTAAGAACCAATCTAATGCAAAAGGTTTGCTTTTGTGTGTGTGCGCTTATTTTGCTTGCAGACAAATTGTCGAAGATTTAAAATTTGTTTTCCTCTATGAGGACTATAACTTTTTATTGAAATAAGTTAATCAAATAAACAAAAAGAATAAATTTCTTTCTTTCTTAGCGGGATTAGGAAGTTCTGCTGACAAATTATATGGTGTAGTTGGAAATGCGTTTACAAGCCTCCATGCTTGGATGGTGTTTCAATAAGTGGGAATATTGATTTGGGAAAACATCTTGAGTTTAACCCCTTTAGTTTACATAGTAAATTAGTAGATTTTAGTCCTTTTCGGTGGTATCAGAAAATGTTGATGAAAAATAGAATTGTCTGTTGGGGAAAATTCTGTAAGAGATGCGCTTAGTAGTCTTCAGGTTTGCAAAGTGATCTGAACCGGTAGAATAGAACATCTGCACACCCACTTGCTTCAAGACGGTGATCTTTTTGACTAAAAAAGAAAGACAGTGAACTCTGTTAAGGCACTAAGCTATATAGTCGTTTAGATGATATTGAAAGCCTTCTTCCTTGTCAATCTACTCTCCATGGAGTCTTATTCGCATGTTGATAGGTAACAGATTCTATGAAACTGTAGTAACTGAAAAGCACTGCTGAGTACAGAAAATAGGAAATAATTGTATGTCAACTTTTGGCTGCTTCAAGACTCCAACTGGTGTACTTTCTGCAATCCCAAAGTGTAGTGAGCAATCAGTAACTACAGTAGAGAAGAGTAAAAAGACCAAAGGAAAAGGATAAGCTATAACTCGAGCTTGCTAGGTGTCTCCCATAACCATCTCCAAAAATTCTTACCTCCTCTCCACCCTTCCATCCTTTGATTTCCTGGTAACAAACTCTGTCTAACTACCCCTTACTGGGTGCACACCTCGCCTGTTATCTGTCCTCCGTGTTTAATTTCATCATTTACTTGTTATTACATCTCTATGCCTTTTCTTCCTCTGCCGCACTTCTTTTCATGTACTATTGTAACTATTCTCGGATCAAATGTCAAAACTTGCTGGTCAAAAATCCTGCTTTCTTTCTAGTTGTCAACATCTGTCATTTAACATATGCTTAGACTTGTTTCTGTTCAATAATTGGCAATATATTAACATTCACAAGCCTCCAGTCTGCTGACATGTATGTTTTCTTTTGGCAGAACTTGATAAATTACTAGAAGATGCGCCTTTGCCATTCATAATGCAGCATGCTGCAAAGATTTCCAGTGTTAGGAAAAGAGTTTCATCTCTGAATTCTCTTCTAAAATCTATTCAAGGGAGAATTGATAATATAGACCGCATGCTATTTATTGGCACCACACAAGGTATATGTATATACGTCTTCATAGGCTTAATTTTGTCTCTATATGATAGTGAACAAGTGGTGGCAGTAGTACCATGTTCATTGTATGTAATGATCCTAATTTCCAAACATCTGCTCTCATTAAAGTCACTGCAGTTTCATTGCTTTGAGCAAAGTGCCTGATCAATTTCTGATGATTTAAAGGGCCTGATCAATTTTGTTAATGATGCTCTCCCTAGACGCTTTCAGATCTCATTACTTGTTACTGATTCCCATTCCAGCCTGGCAGAACTGTAAAATATGGCCCTTGGAAAACTTGTATTTTCTGCAGTATTTGGAATTACCAATTCTTCAGGATTCCATTAAGCTATGACCTACATTATAAGTTGGAGGGAGTTCCCTGACCACATCTCTTGTTTCCTTATACTTTTGCATTATTGAAATTAAAGGAAATTCTTGGAGTACGGGAGCCACATGCAGTGAGTAACCAACCAGGATTGATCACTTTATCTTGTCAGATAGCCCAGGAGCTTCTTGGCTGTTCTGGCTTGATATGGAACGCCTGTAAACTCTGCAGCTAGGACCACTGGAGATTTTGACGGTCATTATTGTTTTAGTGGCTATAATATGATTAAAACTAGGCTGCGAAGAACTGATTTACTGTTCCTTAAAGAAAAGCACCTTGAAGTGAATGGAATTCGACCAATAGACAAGTAGATATGTCCAAGAACGCGACCATATGATTTGGATTAGTTGTAACTCAACGAAACCAAAGGCTAGGCTAGGAAATGGTGTCTGTAGCATCATTATATAGGCGTTGGAGGTTGGTTTTAGAGACCTATGCCTGTGAAGATAACAGGAATGTCATACACGCCCAAGGATACAAGATATTTTTGTAATAAACAAATAAAGTGGTGATATTGTTTGGATTTACTGTTACATAGGAGATAACCTTTTTTGCAGTAGCATTGAATAGCATATTCCAATGCTTTGTAACCTAAGGACTCGTGTCTTCAAAATCCTTCTCTAGCATAGATCTAATTGATAATTTGTATACTTGACACATTTTTAATCCATAATCTAAATACTAATACTTTTCTATTTGTAATTCTACAGAGAAGCCAACCATTTAAGGTTCTGGATGAATTAACGTCACTGTCAGCAAAACTCACTTTCAAATTTCTTCGTCCCCATCTCTCCTGTGTCGTGTACCCTTGACACCCTGGAATGATTGCTTATGCTTCCGCTGGATGGAGAACGAGGCAAAGAAACTTAGGGCTTATTTGAAACTGTTTTTGTTTCATTGTTTTAAAAACTGGTATTTTATAGATTATGTTTGGAGAACAAAAATAATAATGAAAATAAGTGTTTTTTACATTTTTTTTATTTTTCAAAATAATAATCCTGAAATATTTAAAAGATGTTTTCATTTTTCTATTCTATAGAATAATATTTGATTTTTTTTTTCAGAAAACTTTTTAGAAGCACATTATCGATGATTTTTTTTTTGAAGGATATAAAATTGTTCCTAAAATATGTTGTCTAACAAGCCTTCACATTCTTGTTTGGATGCTTGAAATCACTTGGATTTCTGCATCCATATGCATATTGTATTTTAAGTTGCATTTTTATGTCCTAATCAATGCATTAAAATGCAAATTGTAAATCATAAACTGAATTGTGACATGATCAATGATAACTATAATCTACTCAAGGCAAGCAAGAGTATTGCTTTTCTAATTTGTTTTCTTGCGTCAAAAAAGTTCAGTTGGCACGGCAATTACTGAATCTTATGACCGCCATCCTGTTGATAGTGCGTCGCAGTTGGAGAAGAAACAGAGCAAAATATCTGGAAAAGCTGAAATCACAGCCAGTTTGGCACGACTTCAGTTGGTGCATTGTTGGGTTTTTCCGTTCACACGGCAAAGTTAGCAGCTAGCTGGTGCCTCTCCAAAAGCAGCAAGCTTTGATAGTTGGGAGCGAGTTAGTACATTTCATTTTCATTTTATCTGAAACAAATGTACGACCCCACACAGCAAATCCTGAAATATAGGCACCCCTTAAACTTTGGGGTCCTACCGTCCCGATGGTGACATGCAAAAATCCTATGAGGTTCTTGATGGACCAAATTGAAAGCAAATTGTTTGAGACCTGCTAATGCATCATCCAATCCTGCTTAGAGAATTAGCCTTCATGTGTATGCCTCGTTCAATGATAGAAGAGATTTTAGTGATTCTTTATTTGGATTGATAGGATGGAGGATAGGGAGAGATTTTAAAAATACCTCATTTGGTTTGGTTCGAGAGAAGAGGGAAAGGAGGTACGAGAATTCCATTTTATTCAAATTTGAGTGGCAGTTTTTTTGTTTGCATTTTTTAAACAAATTTAAAATTATAATTTCTTAATTCTTGTATTAAAAATATAAAAAATTTCATCTTAAAAATGTTAAATCTTTTCTTTACTTGCCATATAAATCTTATATATTATTTATAATAATTTTTTCTTGTGATACTCTCTCCGTCCCTATATATAAAATATTTTTTAAAAGCTTATTTTGTGTCTAAATATGAGAGGTGGTAATGATATTTTTGAGTAATTAAATATTTTTATCCTTATCTTGAAAAATAAAATAGATCTTTTATTATATAATTTCCCTACCACCATCATGGTATTAATTATAATATTATTAGGGATAAAATTAAAAAATTATTATGTTTTTATGTGAGTTTGACTAAATAACAAACCTTTATTACAATGCAAAATTCGGTTAAAAATACCTTATATATAAAGATGGAGGAAGTATGTTTTAAGGGAAAAAATATTCTAAATTAGCAAATTGTGGAAGAATGCTAGTGAGCATTGCATTCAAGCGAAGTAAAGTTAGGGTTCCAACTTCCCAAGATATTGAAATGTGGCCACAAGACATGAAATAAAATCAGCAACGGTTCTGTTTATTCTATGGGAGATTTTTAGATGAAGTATTAAATTATATAAAATATATATTTTATAAAATTAAATCACTTAATACTTCCTGCTTTGAGTCGTAACTCATAATAACCCCCATAGCCTCTAAATTTTATAAAAATAATTTCCTATAATTAATTAGTATGTATACTTATTAAAAAAATTGAGAAATTTACATCTCCATATCAAAGAAATTTCATCTTCGTCATGAGAGCAGCCTGGTCCTTGATCGATTTGGGGGCAGAGTTGGTGGATTGGGGCTTTTGCTTTTGTTATTGGAAGGATCAAACCGTTGTGCCACAGAACCAAATCCTCAGCAGACTCTTCTTTCTCAGCGGCAGCAATCTCCACCGTTCAATTCATATCTAATGCCTCGTATCTTACCACATCATCTCATATTAAAATAATTTAATTTTAAAAAATAAATTTTTACATCTTATTCCACTACTTGACACACACACACGTATATATTTAGGAAAATGATTCAAATTAATTTTTTTAATTTTCAAAACTTGTATTAAATAGATTTCGCCAAAGTTTAAATGGTAAAGGTATAAATTTGGCCCCAAACTATTTTTTCAGGAGCATTTGGTAGCCTAAACTATCAGATGGTGCAAAATAAATTACGAACTTTAGAAAATGGAGCATCCAGTAGCTCGCCATTAATTTTAACTAACAGACGTTATATGGAGCCCACAATGAACGCGACATGACATATGCACGATACGTCAGTATGGTAAATATGCAAGTTTAGCCATGAACTATTTTTTGAGGAACGTTGGGCAGCCTCTATTATAAAACAAATGAATTATCAAACACCTTCCCCTCAATTTTGATCAAACATCATTTATTTTCATACTTATAAGGCTCATAAAGCATTAATCTCTCAATCTTCTTATCTTCGTTTTCAATTTCAACTCGAGAAGAAGAGGTTCAAAGAGTTTTTATCTAAAGATATTCATGTAGACAATGCTAACAAAATAGAAAAAAATAATTCATGACTAAATTAAGTTAGAATCAAGCTTTTCACATATATAGTAAAATCAAGCTTCTACTTTATTGGCATCATCCTTATAAATGTTTCGAGATAAGAACTCATTGAACCTCTTCTTCTAAAGCTTATATTGAAAACAAATGCAAGAAGATCGGAGAGATTAATGTTTTGTAGCCTTTATATGTATGAAAATAAACAATCTTTTGTCAAAATTGAGGAGAAAGTGTTCGATGGTTCATTTTTTTATAGTAGAGGCTACCCAATACTCCTCGAAAAATAGTTCACGGCTAAATTTGCACCTTTACCGTGCTGACGTGTCATGCCCGTGTCGTGCCACATGTCATTGTGCACCTTACATAACGTTCGTTAACTGAAGTTAATGGCGGGCTATTGAATGCTCCATTTTTAAAAGTTCATAATTTATTTTACACCATCTGATAGTTTAGGCCACCAGACGCTCCTGAAAAAATAATTTGTGACTAAATTTTTTACTTTATTCAAGTTTAAATAAGCTAGACTGTAAGTCTCTCCAAGTTTTGTAGGAACTTATAATCTAGCTTATTCAAACACTGGCTAGATTTATTTAATAAAAATTTATTTTTAGGAACTTATTATTTCATTTATTCAAACTCTAATCAAATCTATTTAATAAAAAATTATTTTAAAAAAATTTGCAAAGTGATTTTTTAGGGGTTGAAAATAAAAAAAATCAATTTAAATCATTATCGTAAACAATATATAGGAAAAATATAATTTTAAATTTCTATACTTTGCTCACATTTTGTTATTTGTCTTTGCACTTTTTTTATGTTTTAAGTTTTTACACTTTTATTTTTTTATAGTTTTAGGTCCCTCCAAGGCTCCCACATTTTATTCATGGAGAGACTTAAAATAATGAAAAATAAAAGTATAGGGACATAAAATATTAAAAAAATATAAGAACCAATAATAAAATACAAGTGTAGTATAAGGACCTAAAGTTATATTTTTTTAAATATATATATACATAAAGTAGTGGATGAGGTGTAAAAAATTATTTTTTAAAATTAAATTATTTTAATATGGGATGATGTGATAAGATATGAGCCACTATTTTAATTTGGATTGAAGGGTGGAGATCTGCTGCCGCCGAGGGACGCTGAGGGAGAGGAATCTGAGAGGATCCGGATCCTTGGTACCACACAAAGATTCTGAACTTTGAAGTTAAATTTACTGCACTGGTTAAAAAAAAAAAGTTAAATTTACTGAAATGAGTAAAACGATACTCCCTCCGGTCTTATTTATAAGTTATTTCTATTAACCTCATCAATACCAATACAATAAAAGTACAAGGAATAAAAGTAAGTAAAATTCCAAACATGCCCCTATATAACAAATTTAAAAAGTAATGTCCTGTTACTTTTTCTCTCTCATGAAGGGTAATTTTGAAAATACCTCTCAAATATTACCTAAAAAGATGCACCGTGATTTATAAATGGGACCAAATACACCTTCTAAAATTGAACTTATAAATGGGATCGGAGGGAGTAAAACTTTACCGCAGCCAGTTAAATTTACCGAAGTTCCGTTTACCCCAAGTAAAACTTCGCATTTTTCTCTTCCTTCCCTCTCCCTTTTCACAGTGAAACGGTAATACTCAAACAAGTGTTAAATTTACCGCATCACAAGGAATGAACAGGTTAACGGAGGAACACCAGAAAGGTAATTCCATGCCAAGCCTGGCTCCCCCCTCGCTGCTCATATGGATGCTGCGTCGTGTGACTCGAAGTTGTTCACATGCTACCACGGTGTAGACGTAGCTTCCAGCAGTACCCGAAGACCCTTCCTTATGGTGCATTATTATTATATTACTCTCGCTAAAATTAGTAAATTATCCATTGATAAACTGAAATAACTGTTATAATAGATATTTAATTACATTATGATAGATATTTTATTGAAAAATTAAAATATTAATGTTCTTATGTTTATGTTATTTTTAATTGATAAAATAACTTAAAATAATATTTAAATACCCACTTTATTAAAAAAATATAAAGTATTTTTAATTAAATTTTACTTTCAAATAAAATAATTACTTTTCTTCGAACTAACACTATTTTTTTTATATTTATCTCTATGTAATAAAGTGTTTTACTCTAAAATAAAT